GGGTATCAGTACTTAAGTGGAGTTGGTTTTTGTTTATTTGTTTGGGAGATGTGCTATGCACAGTAAAACAGTGCTGAATGTTACAGCTCAACATGAAAATTTTGTCCTATGGCATCCCAGTGGTAAATGTCATAACATCTAGTCCCTTGAATGTATACCTCACTAATGCTACCCAAGTTATGGCTCATTAAGTCGTTTCATTCACAACATTTGTGGATTCCCTGAAAGCTAAGGAAGGAGTCCCACTCAATATATCTCCTACAACAAAAAATTTAGCATAGTGTAATCTGTGTTCAATGCCTGGTCTACACACGTTATTTGTATTAATTGTTAGCTGTTTAGCTTATAGGAGTGATTTATTTATTTTTAATGAAGTAGATAATTTGTACTATAGAAACAGTTATACTAGCGTAAAGTTGATTATTTGTCCTAGTTTAGCTTATTCCTATAATTTTATGGTGGTAATTTGTACTGGTGTAAAAAATTTTATGCCAACACACAGCTTTAATTGTATTGATTTTTAATTAAAGTAGTGCAAAAACTGTATGTAGGCCAGTTGTTGCTATTGGACTCGCAGGCAAATGCAAGAAGCATAGTAAATTACTGCAAAATAATGACATTTGTACATTTCGAAGCTGGTTCAGTTGTAGTATGAAAAAAGCAGTACTGTTCATATATTGGAGAAAGATGTAACAGATTCTTAATTTCTTCAAGAAAAATGTGTACTTTATTTTTCTTGAGATATTTTAGTATTAATATTTGCATTTCAATAGTGACTTTAGGCTCCAGTCAATAGTAGGGTACACTAGGTAGTGTACAAATGTGCACATGGACAGCACTGTCCTGGAAAATTTAGTCCTAGATAATTTGTCCTGAAGGTAGGCTTCCTTAACTAATGTTAAGGATCCTTTTAGAGCTGTTTTAGGTACTGATCCTGCAATTAAGCTCATGCAGTCAGACCTCTATGCAGTCTAGAGCCTTCACTGAAGTCATTTTGGCTATGCAGAGATGTAGGGGCCTGCCCTGCAGAGTGAATTTCAGAGTGAGTTTTCAAGTTACTGGATAGCTTTATCTAAGAAGGTTTACATGTCTGTTGCAAAGAGGTAGTAATATTAAAATGCACTGACATGCGCATTTTCCTTGGATAAAGACTTCAATTTTTCTTTTATCCTGTTAAATTGTTTGGTAATGTTCAATGTTACCACCTCATTATCTTAAGTAACTATTATTGTTAAATTAATGATGATTTTTTCTTGCTTGTAGCCATGCAAGAAACGAAGAGAGGAAGATCCCCCTACAAAAACAATTACAAATTATTTTTCACCATTAGCAAAAACTGTGGATAAAGTGTTGTCACCACCAAAATCTAACAACATATTGGATTACTTTAAAAAGACTTCTACAAATGAGAAGACCACTTTCCTCGTTGGAGTTGGAGAAAATAAAATTAACCAGTCTTACCAGCTATGTGCTGATGATGGCAAAGATTGTAAATCACCTTTGAGACCTACTTCAGAATCTTTTTCAAAGCTAAAAAGGAAAGGGAAGAGAGTTAATTTAAATAGTAAATTAAGAGATATTAAGACTCCCGAGAATGAATGTATGATAGAAATAAATAGTAACGATAGTACAGATATGATGAAATCAGAGGAAGAGTGTTTAAATACTAGTTTTATTGCTAACAGTGCTTCTGTTTCACTTGCACAAAAACATGTAGACAATTTAGCAGCAGATAATCAACAAAACAAAAACTCTTCAAACATTATCAAATGCAGAAATGATGCGAAGACAACCAAATTGGAGTTAAATGTATCAAAAATTCACCTAAAAAGATCAAGGAAGAGGAAGCACAAGTATAATACTGATTTGTCTGAAAATTCCTCCTCTGAAACCCAGCTGAATGTAAAGGAACTGAAAGATAAAAAACAAATCACATCTAAAATAATTGAAATTAAGAGTACTGTAAGCAATTCAAGCCTTGAAGTTAATGTGGATAAGACATCACAGTTAAATGATAGTACAGTTACAGTGTCATTTGAGGATTTTTTGAAAAGTCAAGGAGAAAATAAAGTGGAACAAATTCCAGAAACTAGTATGCCAATGCTAAACAATTTTATTATAGATAATGAAGAGGACAAAAGTGGTAGTATCAGTGACCCTGAAAATGGAGAGGAGTCTCAACAACTACCACTTAGAACAGTAACTGTCCTCGCACAGATTCATCCCATTCCCCCAAAATCTCTCTCTCTGCCAAAGGAGCAAAAGGTTTCTAGAAAAATAGCCTCTATTTTTTTGAAGCAAAAAGAATGTGAAGTAGAAAGAGAAAACAGTCAATCTCTTTTAGAGATTGAACAGACTGAACAAATGACTCAGAAAAGAAAATCTAATGTAGTTATAGAGGAAGAAGAATTGGAGTTAGCTGTACTAGAAGCTGTAGGACCTGAAGCTGTGAAGCCAAAATGTACTATAGAAGAAAGACATCAGTTTATGAAAGCTTTTAGACAACCAACATCTGATACGGTCAAAAGTGGAGTTAAAAAAACAATTGGAAAACTGAAGGAAGTCAGTGAAAAGCCTTCAAAACAAAATGAAGGAATGGATGAAGATGAAGCAGCCTCAGATAAAAGACATGAAAGTGAAATACTAAAGGATTATATTGACAAGCATTCCCATTGTAGTACTACTAAGGAGAGAATTAATATGCTTAAAAAGAAAGGAAAGAAGGTATTGGAGACTAAAGGAACAAATATTCCAAATAGTAGTGAAAATAATGAAAATACAGTGGCTAATGCTCATATTAAGGAAAAAACTTTAGATAATATAAGAATCCCATCGCATCTGAAACAGAGTGAATTAAGGAGGAGCCAAAGGCAAAAGAAAACTGAAAACTTCAAAAATGTTACACCTGAAAAAACTAGGGTTAATAATACTGTTTCTGAAAATGAACTAGGTGATAGTCCCCTACATGCTTCCACACCAAAATCAAGCAATAGATCCTTGAGGAAAAGTAACATGTATAAGTCTGAGGTGATCACAGTACCCTTTGATGCAAAGAGCCCAATAAGGTAAAAGTTTGGATTTTTAGAATATTTATAATTTTGATAATACTTTGCTTTGGTAAATAATTTTCATCTCCTAGAAAGGATGTTTGTTTATATAAATGTCAGCATTAAAGGCAGGGGAAATAGATGGTAAGTGCGTTGAGAAGCAATCTTAGGTTTTCTGCAAGGTTAGTGGGCCAGTTGAATAGCAACATGGAAGAAGTGAAATTTTCATTGATCTTTGAAGTAATAGAACCCTGTGCTGCAGCTACTGTATATACTTGGAACTTTTCAGTGTAAGGTCCTTAATCCAAGACTGGAGATTCATTTTTTTTTTCATGGATGGAAGAATATTTACAGTTTTGACATACGGGAAGATGTGACTTCTGCTAATCTGTTGAAAAGCAGTTCACAGTAGGGGAGTGGAAAATGGTACCCAAATTAAGGATCTTCAGATGGCTAAGAATTTCCTCCTATTTTTAAATTAGTGAAAATTCGAAATTTTTTTCAGGTTTTGTTTTTAAATCAGTGGAATGGGATAGGGAAGCATAAGTTCCTATTCCACATCTGAGAATTTTTAAAAATAAATGCACTACAGTAACTTGATACATTAAGAAATATTCTTTCTCTGAAAAGAACATTAAGATCAGTTGGGTGTATGCCTGTGTTCACAGGAAAAATATATTTAGATCCTTTACTCATTAGGATTTTTGCATCTGTTGATAGCAATCTTAAATTCTAATGACTCTGAGGTAGAGACTGAGGTTCCCTTTAAAAATTAATTTAATAATGTTTTTTCCTTGTTTAGAATGAGGTTTACTCGAATTAATGCATCTAAAAAATCCGAAAAAGCTGAAACAATGGAAAATGAAGAATTTACCCCAAGAAATATAAAGGTGGCTTTTATCAAGTCTGTTACATGTTTGTATTTTGTGTTTGGGAAGTCACTTACAGAATACTAAAGTAAATAAGTGTAGTACCTTCTTGTTCCAGATTATTTGTGGTGTACAGTTGATCAACTAAGACTTGAAAAATCCATTCACTTCAGGGGCACTGTTAAATGAGGGGGCCTACATCTTGAAGTCTAAATGAATTTAAGATAACATTTTAAAAATAAAACATTTGGTAGATGAGTGTAATCATAAGCAATGTCTGTTGTCAGAAGGATGGGTCAGTGGCATTAGCCTTACCACTGAATAAAATGGGATTTCTCTGTTTCATTGCTTTTACTCAGCATATTATCAGCAGCAGTAAAATTGTTTAAAAAAAAAAAAAAAAAGCTATAGCTTGGGAAAGACAGAAGCAGAAGTTGAGGCATGCATTGGAATTCTTAAATAGAAGGGAAAAGACCTAAATACTCGAAGCTATGGAGAGGAGGGAAGGATAGAGTTATTGACATATCTTTCTGATAGACAACACACAGGAGGGTGTGCAGGGATGTCAAGAGAAGAAAATTCCTCCTCTAGCTGCTCTGAGGATGGAGTGACGCTTCAGTTATATTTTGGCCAGAGACTCATTCAAAATGCAGTCTCTAGTCAGGGCCCCAGGGATAGCATCTCTGCAAAAACTCAGTGTTTTGTTCCAGATAGATAAGGTTGTTTTTTGTCACCAACCAGACCTCACAGATGAAGCCTCTCAGCTTAATTATCTCTCTTTCTGTCTCATAGGGTTACGCTTGCATTGTGGGTGGGCTCAATCTGGTTTCAGATGGACAGATAACCAGTATACAATTTTGATAATGCAGTACATTTGGTCTCAAATATGTTTCAGTAGGTGTGAAGCTGCTTTTTATAGCATACCTGAGATTTCTTCATCAGGGTGATATTGTAGTAGGTATGTTAAATATCGGTTAATTGAGTAGTCAGTTAACCTCATGAATTCTTATTGGTTACTTGATTATTTTATAGTCCTTAGGGGTGGAGCCAGCAGCCAGTGTGCTCCAGCCCTGCTCCCAAGGAGCCCCCTGCCACTCTGCACTGCTGCCTCAGTATCCGAGGCAGCAGCATGGGTTGCCAAGTGGGAGCTAGTCCACGAGGGGACCCAGTTTAAAAACCAGCTCCCCTCAAAGACTGCCTGCCACCCTGCGCTGCTGCCTCTGATAGAGAGGCAGGAGTGTGGGGTAGCAGCAGATCCTGTCCAGGGTGGGTCTGAGCTACTGGACCCAACACAACCCAGAACTGAGCCAGGCTGCCTGCCTGCCCAGCTCTTAATACACTTTAAATGCAGAGCCACAGCGGCGGTAGGTCACGAACCTGGAGCAAGCCAGGACTGAGCTGGGCTGCTGGCCAGCCTGCTAAAAAAATTGACTGGCAAGTGGCAGGAGGGAAATGCGTGTAGTCTATAGCATTAACTTAAAAGCTTTTGCTTATCGGTTAGTTGACTATATTATTACATCTCTATATTGTAGCACAGTTATAAGGCAGAAACAAGCCGTCTTACATTTGGCACTACCTGGCATTCTAGTTAGCATTTTCAGCAGCAGGAGCAAATATTATTCACAGATACCCAAGTGCCTTCAGAACAGGGATGATCATAGAATACTAGTACTAGAAGGGACCTCGAGAGGTCGAGCCCAGTCCCCTGTCCTCACAGCAGGACTAAGCACTGTCTATATCTTCCCTGACAGGTGTCTGTCTATCCAGCTCTTAAATATCTCCAGTGATGGAGATTCCAGAACCTTCCTAGGCAATTTATTCCAGTGTTTAACCACCCTGACCATATTAAGTGTTTAACCATAGTAAGGGCAGAACAAGAAAGCTTCCATTAGCACTACCTGTGCTCTACTTGTTTGTTTCATGGATAAATTACAAAATCTCTTTGTAAAGTTATATCTTCCATGGGCAGTACATTTTTTTTAATTGAATGTTTATTTCTTATCAGCTCCATAGCATTTGCAGCTGCCCCACTCTTTATTTTCTCTCTCTTTTTTTTTAATTAATCTTCAATGGCAGTCCCTTCTCTTCTGCTCTGATAACTTTTGCAGTGTCTTTGTGAATGTGTTACCCAGTAGTAGCAATAGATTTATAAGAGTGGTAATCCTGATGATTTCTGGTTATCCAGTAGTCTCTGTTTTGGGGACATCTTGTGGCCTGTGTTATATAGAAGGTCAGATTAAATTATCACAATGGTCCCTTCTGACCTTGGAAGCTATGAATTTCCTGATAGAATGCTTATGTAAAATGGTACTAAATAAGATTTTACTTTAAAGAAAAGCAGTTATTTTCACAACCATTTTATTTCCTTTTAAATTGTATGCAACATGTGTTTCAATGATAGTGTAACGTATGTAGACTGATTTTTATTTTAATGTAAAATATATGGCTATTAATGATCAGGTGTTTTCATCATTTTGTACTTTGTTTATAGAGGACCTGTACTTCTAAAAATCTATCCAAAGCTAAACAATTGATTGAAAAAGCAAAGGCCATACAACATAATAGATCAAAGGCTAATGAAGATACCCCAACACCTGTAAGACGCTCATCTCGACAGCAAGCTCTTGCTGAAAAGAAAAAATTACAAAAAAATGAAGTAAGTTTGCAAATTGAATAGTATAGAACTCATATTTCTTTTAAAGTTATTCTCATTTAAGCAATAATTTACTTTTAATTTCTTATGCTGTTTATGTATTTCTGCTATGGGATCTTATGAAGTGAATGGAGATGATGTGGTAGCATGGTTTTGATTTTACAGTACTAACTAGTATGAGTTGGATCTGAAGATTAAGGGATCATTCCTGCAACCACTCGGGCCGTGGAATCACTCTAACAGGCATTGGACATAGCTTACTATAGTGTTCTGATTGAGGTTTTTACTTTAAGTAGAAAATGTCAGTTTCAGTAATAGGAAACTGGTCCTTGACCCAGAAGACTCAGAATCTTGGATTTTTTTAATGTCTCTAGTAGTTAGAACCAAAAGAGACAGGATAGGCAAGAAAATGTGACAGACGAGCATAGCTGTTCCTAAACAGAATGACATCTCAGGGACAATGTAAAAAAAATTATAAAATCAGACCAACTTTTGCAATATTCCTGTAGGAAAAAAGCTCACTCATTTGTACTTGGTGCTTTAGAAGATTTTTTTCCTGTAACTTGCTCCATGTTTGTAGGAAACACAAATAGAACTGTTAAATAGAGTAATTTTTGAGTTTTAGCAACAGTTGTTTAATTTATGAGCTCCATCAGTATCTATAATTAATTGGTAGTGTACAGAATTGGAAATAGTATTTAGTGAGAATAGAGTAGGTGGTATTTAATTTATTTATTTTTTATTATTATTATTCCTGTCCAGGATTCAGTGATAATTTTAAACTCAAGCCCAAAGAGTACTATTGATTCTACACAGAATGTGGAGAAAAAGCAAAAGAAACTTCGAAGTTTAAATGATGTACTAGGGAAAAAATCTAAAAATATGAAGGTTACTAACAGCTCACACGGTAACTGAATTTAAATAAACATGTTTTATTTTTATTTCAATGTATAACATGCCAATCTCGAACACCAGGACTATTTGGACTATATTACCGTGGTCACCAACCTGTCAATCGCAATTGACTGGTGGATTGTGGGGGCATGACCAGTCGATCGCGCAGCATTCCCTCCCTCCCCCCCTTTCCCTCTGCGCTGATGCTACCTCCCGCGAAAATGGAGGTAGCGCTGGCTTCCTGTGGCGTGGAGGGGAGGTCCTGCAGCTGCGCACCAGCTCTGGATCTCAGGAAGCACACGGGCTGCTCTTCCCCTCCCCCAAACAGCCGGGTCTGTGCAGGGGGAGGAAAGGTGGGTGGGGGGGGGAATAGGAGTCCTGGGACCGTGCCAGCTCCAACTTTTCAGGAAGTGCGTGAGTTCTTCCTCCGCTCCCCACAACAGTCATGTGCTTCCTGAGAAATTGGAGCTGGCTCGGTCTCGGGACTCCTACTCCCTCCGCACAGGAAGGCAGCAAGGGGAAGGAAGTCCCCGATGGCGTGACAGACTTGGCTGTTTGGGGGAGGGGAAGAGCAGCCTGCATTTCTTCCTGAGACCCTGGATCTTGCGCGCAGCTGCAGGATCCCCAGGTACTGGCCAAGCTGTCTCTGTCCCCTCCCCTATGCCAGACCCCCATGAGTATCCTGCCCCAGCACCCACCAGCGCCCTGTCTCCTGCCTAAACCCCCACCAGCACCTTGCCCCTGCCCCATGGCCAGTCTCCCACCAGCACCCTGCTCCAGCACCCTGTCCTTGTCTTGTGGTCAGACACCTGCCAGAACCCTGCTCCTGCCCCCTGGCCAGTCACCATTCAGCACCCTGTCCCCTGGCCAGACACCCACCAGCACCCTGCTCCTGCCCCCTCCCTCCTGGCCAGACACTTACTCCCAGCTTGTTCCTGTACCCTGTTTTCCATTCAGATTCTTGCACCCCCATTCCTATCTCACTCACTGGCAGCCCTGTCCTGTGTGCTGGATCCCTCATTTTTGGCCCCACCTCAGATTGTAGAGGGACCCACAAATTCCACTAACTCTGGAACCCAGAAGAATTAATCTGACCTGGGGCTGAAGTTCCAGGAGAGTGAGGTGTCTCAGTTGGGACCACATTAGTGAGGCTTGGGATTTTTTTTGGAGGGGTTGTGTTTTTTGCATCTCACTTGTGTAGCCCCAACTGACTTTTCTGATGATGACCCCGACTCAAAACATGTTCCCCGCCCCTCTCATAAATAAAAACAATGCTGAAACATTTTGTGTTTGACATAATATTTTATTTAAAAATGAAGCCTGGCCAAAAACCCCCAAACGGGGCCAAGTCCCATCTGGCTGCAGCATTATAACACTCCTACACCCCTCATAGAGCCCAAACCTGAGCCTATCATACACCAGAACCCCCTGTCATGAGCCTCTCACATCCCCCACATCTCCAGTCTTGTGCCACAACACTCCTGCCCTATCCACACACTGCAAACCTGTGCCCTGAGCCCCTCATATACCCCAACCCAAACTCCTGCACCCTCACATCCACAAGCCTGAGACTGGCTCAGCACCCCAACTTTCCACCTAACCCCAACAGTCTCCATCCTGGAGCCCGCTCCCTGAGCCAGCATCCCCTTCTCCACCTCCTGCTGCACCCAAATTCCCTCCAAGAGCTTGAACCTCTCTCCGCTTCCCACACCCAAATCCCTCCTTCCCCCTCTCCGCTTCCCACACCCAAATCCCTCCTTCCCACCCCAGAGCCCGCACTTCCTGTCTCAGCCCAGTGAGAGTGAGTAAGGGCTGGGGACAGAAAATGATGGAGAGGAGAGGAACAGAGAGGGTGGGGTCTTGGGAAAGGATGGAGTAGGTCTTGGCTTGCCCTGACATTTAAAAAGTGATCTTGGGTGTAAAAAGGTTGGAGACCACTGCTATACAGGCAGTCGCCGACTTACGTGGATCCGACGTATGTCGGATCCGCACTTACGAACGGGGCTTTTCTCGCCCCGGAGCTCGCGGGCGGCGGGACCACCCAGAGCGCACCGGTCCCGCCACCACGTCCTCTG